TGCCAATTATCGTTCTACAAAAAAAATCTCAGTTATATTATATATTTCACCATAATAATTGTAATTACTAATAAAGAACTCACAATTTCTGTAGAGTAGTAATCTTTCCTAGATTATTAGGAATGACTCCAGGAATATTTGGATTTACTAAAGACAATTCGATAATATTCTGTGACGAATCACAGATGACTCCAATCCATCTACAATAGTTCCCATTTGTCATCCACCCATTATCTGTCTGCAATCGTGACCCGTTGATCGCATTAGCCGCGATACCTTTCAACACGCAAAACTGTGTGATGTTATAAAATGCGGTTGTGTCATCCGCACAGACATCACACGGAAAATTATTTGGTTGTGTCGAGAGCCATGCGTTGAAAAGTGTCAGACATACCACCGACTTAATAACAACATTAGCAGGTGATGAAGTATTATAAATCATCGTAGGATTGTTTATTATGTTGTTACCATTATTATTATTATTATCATCAGTGGGATCTCGAAATCTCGGTGATATAAGTCGCGCGTTTAAAGCTGCTAAATCTCCCAGAAATAAAAGAATAATAATAATAACAATAATCCAAATAATAAAGCAGCAACACCGCCGTCTTTTCTCTTTCTTTATTATTACTGATTGTCCATTCGAAGCACTATTTTTATTTCTCTTAGAAGAAAGGTGTGGACAGCAACATAATCCACAGAATAAAAGTTCTATAAATGTTCCTTTCGAAGATGGGGAAGTTGATTGATTCTCATTAACTTTATTATCATTGTTCGAGGGTGTCTCATCATTGTTCGAATTTGAATCTTGCATTATTACTATTTCGCTTTCAGTCAGTTCTCGCTCAGTTTGAAATATTATTGCTGATTGAGATGGAGGGTTAAATACTCCACTTAATTTTTTCACTTTAATTGCCACACGTTCTTTTAAGGAGACACGCTTTTTTTTATCGTTATCGTGTGCAATTCTCTTTGCGACCTCTTTTAATGCCTTGTTGTCAATATCGTGGTCGTCTTCAGTACTCTTTTCCTTTCCTAATACGCTAATAGTAGTATCGTTGTGGTCTTTAGTCTCGTTTTCCTGTTCTTGTTCCTGTTTTCTGTTTTCGTCCTCGTCTTCTGAAGTATCCGAAGATCCCGGAAGTAGCTTATCTTTAAGTATTGGTGATATCTGTGCGGAGGGAAGTGTCGAAGGTATGAACGAGGGAGAGGAGTAAGGTGAACTGGATTCTTCACCTGGTTTTGTTACTGTTATTAGAAGTGAAGGTCTATTACTACTAATACTATTGTCTGTGTTGATGTTATTATTGGTATCAAGTGACATCCGCGACGTATTAAAGGAATATTAAAGGTACGCGACGAATAATAATGATTGTTGAATAAGAGACCTGCTTATCCAAAGTTTATCGCGTAGCGAAAAAGTAAAAGAAAGAGAAAAGTGACGTGTGGTGAGTGAGCGAGATATTCAACTAATAAATTAATTAATTATCTCCACCACGGCGAATAGTAGTAACGATAAAAGGAGAACAAGAAACAAGAAACATATAACAAAACCACATCCATTATCGTTGTTGAATTTAACGATTATGATTATTTTTGGACAATAAAAAGTCGTTGTCTGATCGTGAAACTCGGGTATGATTTTTTTTATCGTTTATGCTGTTGAACCATTGTGTATTGTTAAATGCCGATTGGCCCAAAGTTGAAATCTCTCACGCGTTATGCAAATTAAAAAGGCAAAGTTCAACTTTTAAACTACAGTCGCACTCCTCCAAGCGCAGAATTTTCATAATTCAACTTTGAACACAGAATATTATATATCCTGTTTTTTTCAGAATTCCATAATATGCACCAAAATATTGGGCTCAATATCTTGAGACTCAGTGACGGGAATCCAGTGTAAGGCATACCATTCGATTCTCGCAACTGAGAAATTTGGATGAACGATTTTACACACGGCCTCTTTGGGTTCAATAACTCAAGACCCCATGGTGGAAATTGAGTGCAAGACCCACCATTCGATTCGCCAGAACCTAGGGAATCTAATGGTGCACATACACTCGATTTCCGCTATTGGGTCTTGAGTTATTGAGCCTAAAAAAGGGGCCGTGTGTAAAATCGTTCATCAAAATATTGAAAAACTGTAAAAAATATAGTAATAAATGTTCAAATCTGGTCTGAAATATTAAGAATGTTATTTACTTATAGTTTTTTTTTAGATATTGTAATTATTATTCATAATTTTTATAATTATTATTGATATTTGATAATTTTTAATAGATTATTTTTTTGTATATAACTATAGTAAGTTTAAAATTTATGATTTAAAATTATTATATTTTATTAATAAAATTAATTCTCTGATTTTATAATTTGTTAATTACTATAATATATAATTAAAAGATATATATTTTTAAATTATATTTTATAATATAAATAATTTGAATATTTTATTATTTAAAAAATCATAATAAGAAAAATTGCATTTTTAATTCTTATAAAATTGAATAATATTAATATCTTTTTGATAAAAATAAATAAAATGATTTCTTTCAATATTACAAATATATTAACTAATAATAATAATATTAGAAAAGTCTTTATAATGTATTAACAAGAATATATTTTCTATTAAATTTTATCAAAGATTAATTTAAAGATAAATAATAATAATATTTATAATATGATTAGCTAGAATATAATTTAATTCTAAAATATAATTTAATAAAGATATAACAAATAGTTTATTAACAAGATAAAATAATAAATCTTAATCAAGATCTATTTTACAAGAGATATTCTTAGAATTTTCTTAATTAAATTTTATTTTACTATCAAATTATTAAACTATAGTAAATCATTATAATTAATTATTCTTTTCACTAGCTATAGTGACAATCAAAAATAATGCAATACTTAAATTTTTTACTAATTATAATTAGTAAAAAATTTAAGTATTACATTATTTTGATTGTCACTGTAAGATATATTACTTTTATATATTTTAGAGATTTTATAAATAATACTTTTATTATAATCTAAATATTACTTTAACTGATATCATAATATTAATTTTGTTATAATAGTATTACTAGTTTTGCTATGATAATTTTATTAATTTTACTATAATAATTTTGTC